GGTGCAGCATGCGGGCGCTGTGACGTTCTCGGATAAATGCCGTGTAACTGTGTAGGCGAATGGGAGCTAAAAATAAGAACGGAAAATCTATCATTAAGGTATCATTGCGCCAGCGCAGCTATTTGAAGGCTCCCATGGTCCCCGGCGCCTGCGTTTGAAGCCCGCCTTCAGGCTTTGGGGGGTATTTGCAGAAAACTCCCAGCAGCGGCTCGCCAGCCAGACCTCAGGGCGCAGGGGGTGGTGCCGGTAATTATGGCAACGCTCAAAATAAAATAAAACAAACGCTCATCTCCCCCCTCCCCATCTCGCCCCCTGGACTGTCCCCAGGTCTCTAGGGAGGCCGCCAGGAATGGAGCTGGACGCTGAAATGAATGTGACCGGACCGATTTGCAAAGACTAGGATCGCACGCTCTTGCAGCTCTGTCTCGCCATTCACCTTCCTCCATCCACCTTGGATTAAAAAAATAGAGAACCGAGGGGGAGCCTTCGGAAGAGAAAACAACTGGGACTTAACCCTAGGTCCCGAGTGCGCCGCGGCGGGGCGCCAAGACGCAAACTCGCCGGATGGCTAGTCCTCGGGGTTCCAGAGGGTTAAACGAGAATTGATCCGATTCGCTCTTTAACACCCGAGGGGGAACAGGGGAGACCAGGGGAGACAGGGCAGGACTGGTGTGTGCGTGTGAGTGTGTATGTGTGCGTGCGCGCGCGCGCGCGCGTGTGTGTGTGTGTCTGGGGGAGGAGGGGCGCCAAGGTGCAGCCTGCGCGCGGCTCAGCGCCTCGGCGGGGCTGCGTGCGTGTGTCCCTGTCCGCGCTGCTGAAACGGGCTCTTCGAGGGATCGGCGTCACATGACTCCGCCTGCCCCTCGCCAGCGCGCAAGTCGCCAGTCCCTCAGTGTGCCCGGCGCCGGGGGAGGGTCGGGAGGCATCTCCCGGGCACCGGGGCTCTGCGGAGCGCAGGAGAGGTTCCCGCGGGGACCGGCACATCTGGACTCAAGAAGCCGAGGCTCAGCGCCAGATCCTGGAGTGTAGATATCTGGGGGGGGGAGAGAGCGAGAGGGAGCGAGCGAGCGCCAGAGAGAGGCAGCGCGCAGCGCGCACGGACGGGGAGCTGCCGGGTGCCGCGCGGAGAAGATGTAAGCGCGTGGGGTCTCGCTGGCCTCCGAGCACCATGCAGAAGGGGATCCGGCTGAACGATGGCCACGTTGCTTCCCTGGGACTGCTGGCGCGCAAGGACGGCACGCGCAAAGGCTACCTGAGCAAGCGGAGTTCGGACAACACAAAATGGCAAACCAAGTGGTTCGCGCTGCTGCAGAACCTGCTCTTCTACTTCGAGAGCGACTCGAGCTCGCGGCCCTCGGGGCTGTACCTGCTGGAGGGCTGCGTCTGCGACCGCGCACCCTCCCCCAAGCCCGCGCTGTCGGCCAAGGAGCCGCTGGAGAAACAGGTGAGGCCAGCGCCGCGTCCTGACCTCCCCGCACCCCGGCCGCGGCCCTCGGGGCTCAGGGCCTCGGACTGGCTGGTGGCACCCGAACTTTGGACCCACTAGGTGCTCTCGGCACCCTCCGCGGGAGGGGGGTCTTGCTCCCAGCCGGGCAGGTGACCCTGCGGCGGGCAGCGGGGGCAGGGACTGCGGGTGGGGAGGAGGTGTGGGCTGCGACCGCCCTTCGTCCGGCGAGCCTCGTGGGAGGCGGGGACGGAGGGCCCGAGACCCGGAGGTGCCGAGGGAGACGGGGTCCCGAGAACCAGACGGAGACGAGGAATCCGGACCCACGTCTTGCCAAGAACGGTGCTCCCAACCCCCACCCCATCCCTCAGCCCTAACAGCCCGGATCGCCTGCCCCAGACCGGGAAGGTGGACCGCTCCGCGCTTGGGCACCGGGAGGGCGAGACGGGGGCGTCCGAGAGCAGCCGGCCCCAGCCTCGCCGTGGCTGAGGGCAGAGCGCAGCCCGCGCTGGCTGTGCCGAGTTGGGGGTCGCGGGGCCAAGGGGGTCGGTTCGGTGCCATCGAGCGGTGGTGGGCTCCGGCCGGCGCTGACCGGAGCAACCAGCCCAGGGGTTACCAGGGCAGCTCTGGCGCGCCGGGGCGAGGGCCGGCGCTGCTGCGGAGGCCGCGGGACAAGTGGGCGCTTCTCTCCTCCCCCGCCCCCTGCGCCGCCGCCGCCGCAGTAGCGGCTGGAGCGCTGCACTCTGGTTTCCTGAACCGCAAGGCGAAAGCGCCAGGCCTGGATCTGCCCGGGAGACCTGGGCCGGGTGGGGGTGAGCCTTTGGCGTGAAGGAGAAGGGGCACCTGCAGCCCCCCGGGAGAACACCCAGACCGCGAGAGAGAGCGGTCCCTAAGCTTGATGCGCTTTCCAAAGGCATCCAGTCCAGCCCTCTGCCTCCGAGAAGGTACAGCCCATGATAGGGGATCCTAAAATGTCACTGCCCGCAGGGACCTGACATCCCTGGGGCCCAATCAGCTGGTTCTTGCCTAAATGGGGACGCTGAGGCCCAGGGAGAGAAATTCACCTGCCCAGTGTCATATAAGGAGTGGAGCCCACCCCAAGACAGCCGAGATCTCAAAGGCCTTTGCTGCGCGCAGACACAGGCTGGCGGGCGCCTGAATGGGTTGAAGGAAAGCCGCGCTGGAAGTCTCCCTCCTAAGTGTCAGGACAGAGACCTGAGCTCAGTCCCTCCACATCTCCTCCTTCCTTGCCCTCAGCCCACGGGTGTTTGGGAGATGGTTTTTGGGGACTGGGAAGTGCGGACAGGAATTTTGGAGGGAGGGTCTCGAGGATGACAAGCCATGTGGCCGGCAGGGACTCCCAGATGACAAAGAATAGCAAAGGGCAGACAGCGCCTTAGGCTTAAAGCCCAAATATAGCCTTGAGGACTCATGTGGGAGAGCCAGACCCAGTCCAGGCCAGAGGTTGCTCGAAGTCCTGGATCACTGGCCCTTCTCCAGCCAAAGAGCACCTGTACCAACGAGTGGCCTGCCACCAGAACTCCCTACGTCCCACAGCCCAGATCCCAGAGCTGAGCTCCTGAGCAGGCAGGGAGGGAGGGAGGGGTGGGGGACCCAAGCTGATGTGGGCTTATATTATCTGCTCTCATCTCCCTGAACATGAAGACAGGCAGGTCTGAGACTGAATCTCAGCTCCATAACTTCCTGGCTGTGTGACTTCAGCTGACTGGCTAAACGTCTCTGAGCCTCTGTTTTGAAATCTACAAAATGGAGATAATAACAATGAGTCTTTCTGGGGTTTGGGGTGCTAAATTAAATAATACTCGCAATACATTTTAATTGGATCTAGACAAATCTTAGTTGAATTTGAATTATACACACCTGGACAGGGTAATGTATGTTACCAGATGTTAAAACTGAATGGAACCTCAGAGAATGTACAACCCATCCTTCCCATTTTATAGGTCAAGAAACTGAGGACCAGAGAAGGGGAGGAAATTAGTATCACAGAGTAAGTCAGTGGCAGAATCAGACCTAGAATTCACCTGATGTCTAAGAATTCCTGAAAATGAGATCCTACATTGATTTCAAATGTCTGACTCTTGAATTGAATCCTCCTGGTGGCGGGTCGCAGGGGGGACGGGAGTGCCAACCCCAGTGATAGTTGTTCATGTTCAGCACCATTTCCCCAGAACACTGCCAGTCAGAGACCCTCAGGTATGTTCACAAGAGTAGGCTTCCTGGCACAGGAGAACAGAACAGGATTGAGAACGGCTGGTCTAGTGCTGTCCAGCTCAGATGCAATTTTTTGTCAAAGACTCAGGCCTCATCATACACACACACACACACGCACACACACACACACACACACACTCATATATATTCCATTTGACTCTTGGGCAAGTTTGGCTCATATGGAAAAGACAGATCCTTCTCCTTTGGTTTGTCCATGTGTGCAAAAATCTTGGAGTAAAATGGACAGCACTGGCAACTGCTGCATCTTCTCTTGAACTTGGGTGTCCCATGGCAAAAGCCACAGACCCTGGTGTGGCACGTACAGCTCCAGGCCATCCTGAGACCAGGTTTAGGCCCACAGGAAACCTTGACTTGAAACCTGCCAGGCACATGACGGAGCACCTGAGGTAGGAGACCCCTTACAAGCTATCAGTGTGACTACACTAGCTAGATTCTGGTGAAGACTTGACTTTAGCAGGATGTCATTTTTACCCAGATCGAACTGACAGCTTCTTCCTTGGAGGGTCAGGGATGGCTTCTGAAGGAACAGAAACCAAGTCTTGGCTGGGAAGCCCCCAGTGGCTGGGACAGGCTCAGGGACCAAGAACTTAGAAGAGGCAATGGAAATGCTTACTAAGCTGGGCTTGTTTAAGTATCCTATGTGAATTCCATATTTTTATGTCCTGAGGACTAACTGGTTGCCAGCCTCTGTGCTGTGTCATCAGCCTAAGAAGCTGATAGTCCCAGACCCTTATCCACTGGGGGAAGATAGACACGGATAAGGGGGAACATCTCACTCTTTGAAGATGCTTTCATGATGGGCTATGCCAGGTGCTCTGGGAGCCCCAGCGCCGAGCTCCAGGCCCACGCTAACATGATGCAATCTCATCTGGCTGCTTCCAAATTGGTCTGACTGCATCTGGTGTAGTCCCAGTGTCCAGGAACTCTGGCCTGGATGCCAGAGACCTCATGAATTCAGATTGGCACAGCCATGCTCCCATACCCCGTGGCAGCCACAAGGCACCTCCATAGCCTGGGCTCTGCTGGCTTAGTTCTGACCTCTCATCCCAACCCTGAGGCCCACACACTGCAGACCCAGGTACTGTTGACTCAGAACTTGGGTTCACCTTTCCAAAAGGCTGGCCATTGGCATCCCATGCCCTGGTTTGGCATGGAACCACCCCCACACCCTCTTCCCACTCCCATTCCAAGCTTCCTCCCATCCAAGTACCAAGTATCAGGCCCGACCTTGCTTAGCTTCTGAGATCAGATGAGATCAGGTGTGTTCAGGGTGGTATGGTCATAGACCATTCCAAGTTTCCTGATACAAACTCCCCATCCCAACTTCTCAGGAGGGGACCTGACCAAACCAATCTCAGCACTCGTTCATTTCCCCCAACCAGGAGGGGCCAAGATGTGAACTTCAGGCTCTTGCTGTTCCACTAGGACAGAAGGGACACAGACAAATCCCTGCAGCTGGAACCTCAGAGCCTGATGGACAATAGTTACTGGAACCTCAGAGCCAGGTGGAAAATAGGTACTGAGTGCCCCTCTGCCCTATTGTCCACCTGGTTGGTGCCCTTCCCTGGAGATAAGAAAAAAGCCCCAACCGGGCTCAGGGAATCAGCCTGTAATCCCGCGCCTTTGGGAGGCTGAGGTGAGTGTATTGCCTGAGCCCGCAGGCTCGAGACCCACCTGGGCAACTTGGCGAGACCTCATCTCTACAATAAATCAAAAATTAGTCAGACGTGGTAGCGCGCGCCTGTAGTTCCGGCTACTTGGAAGGCTGAGGTGGAAGGATCACCGGAGCCCAGCAGGTCAAGGCTGCGGAGGCCAGGAGCAGCCACTACACTTCAGTCTGGGCGACAGAGTGAGACTCCAACTCAAAAAAAAAAAGAAAGAAAAAAGCCCCACTCCCTGTCCTCATCGGAGGACACATTACTAGTTGACCTGATGGATTCAGACTCACAACAGCCCTGACCTTATGAGTATGCCCATTTTACAGATGAGAAAACAGTCTCATCAGTGGCTACTCAGCAAGGCAGTGGCAGAAATAAGACTCGTTTCTGACTTTCTCACACTGCAGCTGTGTTGCTGTCACCACAAAGCACAACTCTCCTGGTGTTGTAGCACATTCAACCTCTCAGCCAATCAGAAAAATGCAAACCTGAATGTAGAAAAATAAGGTTGGGAAGCCAGGTGCGGTGGCCCACGCCTGTAATCCCAGTACTTTGGGAGGCGAAGGCGAGAAGATTGCCTGAGCCCAGGGGATTTGACACCAGACTTGGTAACTTGGCGAGATCTCGTCTCTACAATAAATCAAAAAATTAGCCAGATGTGGTGGTGCACGCCTATGTTTCCATCTACTTGGAAGGCTGAAGCAGAAAGATGTCCTGAGCCCAGCAGGTGGAGGCTGCGGTGGCTGTGAGCATGCCACTATACTCCAGCCTGGGTGACAGAGTGAGAGTCTGACTCAAAAAAAAAAAAAAGAGACTTGTTTTGAGAACAGCACTCCCAGACCCCTGAGATGCTGGCATATGTATAGTGCCAGTAACTCGGACTGTGAAATGCTTGCACCTATGAAAGTCAGCAAGGCTACCCCACAGTGCCAGGCCAGGTCCAGCCCCAGCAGGTGCGTGGCCCCAGGATCAACTGTGTGGGGTTTTCACCTCCCCACCCATACCCCAAATGTTCCTAAAGTTGAAATGAGGTGGGAGGGGCTCACTCACGTTGCCTTAGATGGGGTAAGGGATTATGGGCGGCTC